GTAAATTTTGGGTTGAGAATTTCCTGAAACACTCCAGAATACTGAATTATTGCCCATGACAAAAGGAGGACACATCACAAGACACAGTACACACAAAATATAGGATGAACGACCCCCATAGTGGAAGAATGACGTAGTATGCGAGTTTGAGTATAACGTGTAAGATGATGGATATTAACAAATATTTTGATATATACAAATTTTATTATAGTTAGTGAAGAGTGTGCATTTTAGATAATTTTATAAACAACACATGATAGTGAGCAATGCAATAGCTTGATGTAAATAACACACCTGAAGATGGCACAGTGATGCCGAAACATGTAGTGAAGCGACATGTGAAATTGATTTCACTACAAGACGGCCAATATACATATCATGGACGAGAATCAGTGCAACAGGACGCTAAAATACAACATACTGAATTATTGCTTTGCAGTATGGAGTCAAAAAGGCCATGTACAACTCTAAGTCTCTTAAGACTGTAACTTTGGCAACTTTGTACCAATGTGAGCTGTACTTTTTCACACTGAAGAGCCAAAAGGCATAACTTCTTTGTGCTTGCTTCTAATTGAGTACCAGTCTCATCAAGTTTTTCTTCAGCCAGAAGAAGTCTTTTCAAGATTTCGTTTTGTCCAGCACTGATTCTGTAGAATGTAATTTTGTTGTATTATTATGAATTCTTGCTTTACACTGCACTGTACTGTCAGGATACTTCGTGAAGAATGCTGTACAGAGGTATCATATATGAATTTTTGTTCAGCACCATATTTCATTTTGGAATACTATATTTCACAAAACTGCAAACTGTATTTGTATGTATGTAGGAAAAACTAACCATTCTAAATGAGCAGCGCTATTACATATAATCCAGTGACCATCAGGCGACTGAGCAATGATTCAGTGGGCAGGCATGGGAGAACAAATTTTTAGTTGACCAGTTTGAGGATAAATCACATGCCCTGTACTTTGTAATATCTCACAGCTAATAATAGTGGTATTGTGGATACCAAAATGTGTGATATGGGAGCAACACTTATTTTAGGGTCCTAAAACAATTTGTAGTCATAAATCTTAAAAAAATATTCACCTTTTGTTGTTGTTGGTTTTTTGTGGGCTGTTAAAGTAATTGTATAATGGCTGTTCAAAAATTGCCATTGGATTTCATTTTATTGGTGATAACATGTGATTGGTATGAGGTATGTGAAATTTGGTCGGTAGCCGAGTGGTCTAAGGCGTGCACTGTCCTCGCCCGCTAGGAAGCCGGGATCGTGGGTTCGAATCCCACTCAGGGCATGGATGTGTGTGTGCGTTTTTCTGTGTTTGTGTACAGGTAGAGGCCTTGCGACAAGCTGATCACCAGCCCAAGGAGTCCTACCATGTGTCTAATAAGATCTAGTAAACCGAAGTGAAACGGAGAGGTTTCATGGAGGTAGGCCTAGGCCCAAATGAAGGCTGTAGTGCCAATGAAAAAAAAAATGTGAATTTTTGTACTGAGATAGACTACACATGTGCATGAAATATTGTTTATAAGTGAACTGTTACAAAAATGGTGACAGTGTGAAAATTTGATGGACTTAATGACAGAATTTGTACTTAGAAATTAAAATCTTAATAAAAATAAAATAATGGTAATAATAGTACTAGATCTGTAAGACTAGAAATCTGTGCATTGGGAAAGTAAGGTTTATGAGTTCTGCAAGGGTTATGGCAGTTCACAGTCATGCCCTTTGGCCTCTGCAATGCCCCGGCAACCTTCGAAAGGCTAATGGAGACAGTCCTACGAGGGCTCACGCACGATTCATGCCTTGTGTATTTGGATGACGTGATCGTAATAGGCCGCACTTTCCAAGAGCACATGCTCAACTTACGGAAAGTGTTCGAGAGGTTCAGGGAAGCCCGTCTGAAACTTAACCCGGAAAAGTGTAAACTCCTGCAGGAAGAGGTCCGATACCTCGGGCATATTGTATCACCAGAAGGGGTATCCACCGACCCGGAGAAGTTGAAAGCCGTGCGAGAATGGCCGACCCCGAAGGATAAACATGAAGTTAGAAGCTTTCTGGGACTATGCGCGTATTACAGGCGATTTATTTCAGGGTTTTCCAACATTGCGAAGCCACTAACGAAACTAACGGAAGAGAAACGAACCTTCCAGTGGACTCCAGAAGTGGAGGCCGCTTTTCAAACGCTAAAGGGTGCCCTATGTGCTGCCCCTATTCTTGCCTACCCACAGCCAGGAGAGAAATTCATTGTGGACACAGATGCAAGTAATGTCGGAATTGGAGGAGTTCTCTCTCAAATCCAGGACGGAAAAGAGCGTGTCATAGCTTACTTCAGCAAGACGCTAAACAAAGCAGAGAGAAACTACTGTGTCACCCGTCGAGAACTACTTGCCATAGTGAGGACACTGGAACATTTCCACAAATACCTCTACGGACAACAGTTCCATCTGCGAACGGACCACTCTGCGCTTACCTGGCTTATGAGTTTCAAGAACTTAGAGGGACAAACTGCGCGCTGGATACAGCGTCTACAGGAGTACAACTTCACTTCGGAGCATCGACAGGGCCGGAAACATAACAACGCCGACGCCCTTTCTAGACGACCCTGCAAAGAGGAATGTGCGCACTGCCACAAAGTTGAGACGCGGGCAGAGGTAAAGCAGATACGCGTTATTGGAACCCTACCGGCAGCCGGCTGGGACCCTGTTACCCTAAGAGAGGAACAGCTAAAAGACCCGGACATAGGACCTATTCTACAGGAAGTAGAGAACGGCCAACGACCGGAATGGCAGGACATCGCGGATCGGAGTCCCACGTACAAAAGCTACTGGGCCCAGTGGAAATCGCTCGCTGTGAGAAACGGCGTACTAGAGCGTGACTGGGAATCCGTCACCGGAAGACGTCAAGTAGCCCAGGTAATTATTCCTCGGAGCAGGGTGAAGGACGTTCTGAGCGAACTGCACGGTGGACCGTCAGGAGGTCACTTCGGTGTCAACAAAACTCTGAATAAGGTTCGACAGAGATTCTACTGGCTCCAAGCAAGGACCGATGTTGAGAAATGGTGTCGACAGTGTGACACATGTGCAGCCAGTCGGGGACCGCGGACCAGGAATCGTGGGCAAATGCACCAGTATAATGTCGGTGCTCCCTTCGAGAGAGTAGCCATTGATATCGCAGGGCCCTTCCCACGAAGCGACCAAGGAAACCGATACTTACTGATCGCTATGGACTACTTCACCAAGTGGCCGGAAGTGTACGCCATCCCGAATCAGGAGGCTTCAACAATAGCGGAAGTTCTGGTTGCCAACTTCTTCTGCCGCTTCGGCATACCTCGAGAGTTGCACAGTGACCAAGGCCGTAACTTCGAGTCTCATCTACTGAAAGAAGTTTTGCAACGCCTGGGAGTGAGCAAGACGCGCACCACACCCCTGCACCCACAGTCGGATGGCATGGTGGAACGCTACGTCAAGACCATCGAGGAGCACTTGCGGAAGGTCGTCTCATCGCACCAAAGGGACTGGGATGAGAGGTTACCCCTCTTTCTCCTAGCTTACAGGGCATCCACTCACGACACTACGGGCCTGACGCCTGCTGGTCTAGTGTTCGGACGAGAACTACGGCTACCCTGCGACCTGCTCTTTGGAGTACCCCCAGACAAAGAACAACCCACAACCAATTATGCAGCAGACTTGGTGGATCATCTGCACGACATCCACAATTATGCCCGGCAACACCTGAAGCTTGCCAGTGACCGGATGAAAACTCGGTACGATAAACTGGCCAACTCCGCAGGTTACGACGAAGGCGACCGAGTCTGGCTCTATCGCCCAACCCGCAGAAAAGGGAAATCGCCGAAACTACAAGCATCATGGGAAGGTCCTTACAAAGTAGTGACCCGGATAAATGATGTAGTGTACCGAATCCAGAAGACCCCTAGGTCGAGGATGTTAGTTGTGCACCTCGACCGGCTCGCGCCTTATCAGGGAGCTGCTCGAGACGAGCAACCATAAAAAAGGGGGAAGATGAAGCGGTTGGAGAGCAGAGCAATGGGGAGAAGAGAAACAGTAGCAGGACACAAAGAAGATGTTGCAAGAACAGCATCCAAAGAAAAGGAATGGGGGAAGCACCGTTAGGCTATTCGGGACGAACAGCCTTAAGGAGGGAGCAGTGTTACATGTTGCGCAACGGAGGACCCCTACCTCCCCAGCGGCACGTGGCGGTAACGTAGCGCTCTCGTAATAGGCGAGTCATCACCCCGCCACTCTCCCCGCGGTGACGTGCCGAGCGGAGCCGAAGTTAGCAGAGTCCCTGCAACCTGGTAGCTATGCAACGCGAGTCAACAGCGGTGACGTCACCAAGGGATATCGCGGTTGCTAGGCAGCAGTCAACAACTCCGAACAGCGTTGCTAGGCTATACGCCACATCACAGTAGTGATGTGGCGGGCGACCCTAGCAACAGTGAACGGAATAAAAGCCGGCTGAGCAGCAAGCGAGAGTCAGTGTGTTATCAACAAGTTCTCAGTTTGCAAGTTACGAGCTACAGACGCGTGTGCGAGAATCAGTGATAGTTTGTGATAACCAGTTATATTTGGAGTGTGTAATTCAGCGAGACTTGTATAGCTCCCGCGCTATTAATACGTGAAGACTCTTGAAGATAGTGTTAAGAGATTTTGTTGTAGGGTTTGTAAAGTGTGGAAACCCGTAACATTGTTATCATTAATTGTAGCCGATACTTGTAGATTGTTAAATAAACCAATCAACGATCTACGGCATATTCAGTAACGAAACACGTTACAGTATATTCTTTGTTCTAAGAGCACATAATAATTTTTGGTCATCTTACCAGAAATTGAGCACCAGCCACTCAAGCTGTAGCTGCTTCGCTGACAGAAACGTCATGACTCACACGCTATGAAACAGGATATTAAAAAATATTTAATCCAGTTTTCTAGCACGAAAAATGAATATAAATGATAATATGTATGTGTTAATTTTCAGATACAAAATGACTGAATCACGTGTAGAGCAGATACAGTTTCACCGTCCTAGATTGAAGCATTTTATCACGGAGGTGCAGAAACAAGGAAACATCATGACATTGAATGAACTGTATGTATGTGACCAGAAACAGAGGAATGAAATTATTTTGGTAAGTATCTTGATATTCAGAATGAAGTACAGTATGCAGATCAGAGATAGAGGAAGTAAAATGTTGCTCACATAGGAGGAGTACTAGAAACCTCAGAAGAAGAGATAACTTGAGATAGTTGGACACAGAAGCCCGTAATATTAAAATGGTTCTTAGAGACTTAAGGTGTGGAGTTGTGGACTGGATTCAAATGTCTAGAGGACAGGGTCTGATGTTTTGTTAACATACTGTGACATGACTGGTGAAAGCCAGAATAGTTTAGTGAATAGATGTGGTATTTTCTGGTAGCAGTGTGGTAAACACATTTCTGCAGCAACAAATAAACACATAACAATAGAGGAATCCTTGGAAATGGTGTTTTCTATGCAGTCCAGGCTGAGGTTATATGCTGAGGACATCAGCCAAGTCGGCAGTCTTTAGACTGCCTAAGGAGTTCCACCTGTGTGGATGCGGGGTTGAATACCTCCACCAACACCCTGTGAGTCATAGGAGGCGACGAAAAGGGAAGTCTCAAATCTGAGACGATAAAATATGGTCTCGAGTACTAAGGGACTCGTACCCGACAAAGGCTGCACTGGAAAGGGCCAGCAGCATATACAAAAGACACATCTGTCCTCTCATCAGAGATGGCACCCCACAGAAATAAGTCTGTAACTGTCAAACAGTAATAAATATCTGGCCATGAGCTCCAGAATAGGCTTGACACCAATACTTACTGACTGACTGACTGACTTTGAGTCGCAATGTGATAGACTTTTTTGAGTCAGCAGTCAGTCATGAGCCATAAGTCAACTGTCAAAAGTCAGTGCTAGCCAGTGATGGATAGACATGGCTGTGAGTTAGAAGTCTTGAGTCGGCCATTGCCAGATGCAGATCACAAGTGTAAATGAACAGTGGTGGTTCATGGATTGGCTGTTGAGAACCTCCATGGTTAGCAGCTATGACCGAGCGACGCCTAGTGAAGACCGTTAGTGAGCAATGACTAATGAAGACGTAGAAGCCTTAAGGTGTGCTGCAGTTATAGCGATTTGTAGAGTGTGTATATCTGTGAAAAAGTTACAGTTACCGGTAGCTGTGAGTTATAAGCGTTCAGTAAATAAAACTGTCAGTCCAAACCCCGTGTCTAGTCACTGTCATGTGACAATATTAATAATCCTTCAGTGTCCACAAAAGCAGGGAATTTCTTGCCTATCTGAAAGGAATCTGTAGATGTATAATATTAATTTCAGTTGGCTACTAATAAAAATTGATTACTGAGAAACGGAGGAGTGTATGCCACAGAGAGCAGAAATGGTGATAGGTTATATCATATATTTCATCTACTGTAAATATTTGCTGAGAACTAGTGACAGAAGTAGTGTGATTGAACTTGGTCATGTTCTCTGTCAGCCTGGCTTTGAGTTGAACCCTTCTTGGAGCCCATGACCAAATTCTTAAGTCTGTTTAGGTGCTAGCCACGTTTGTTACCATAGGGCATCATCTTGGACTAGAGGATAGGTCTGTCCTTTGGCAAGTCCATGTGTTATCCATTGTCTCTGTATACATTTAGATATTAACAGATTTATGTAAAGATGAGTTACCACTGAGAGGTGCGATTTTTTTGCAGCATTTAACAAAAAAAATAGTATCTAACGAAATTTAGGAATATAATTATGGGTTTTGCTTTGATTTACTTCAGATCACAAGAGAAATATAGTAATAGTGCTTGAAACATGGAAAAGTGCACAATAAAAAATTGCAATCCATGCAGTGTAGAAGTCAAACTATGCATTGTAACATACTATTATGGAACTAGCTTTATTAGTTGAATGACTGTCAGCTTCTCAGGGTGGACTGTGCTTGGAGTTGGCGTTATTCAACAGATTAAAGCCTTATAATGCAAAATGTAGCCGAAGATGGTAGAAGAGACTTTTGTTTTTTTTTTGTGTGTGTATGTGTGTACATTTCATAAAAGAAAGTGGAAATGTTGATGTACATTAAACTGATGAGCATGGTTGATCTGTGGCAGTGATTATGAAATTTATATTTACTGGAGGCATGTACATTGGTGTGAGAGAAACATGAAGCATATGTCTACAATTTTAGACTACCTACCTTGGATGCAGGGATCTTTTATCATTCCCTGGTAGGAAGATTTTGTTAAACACTGAACACCTTTAATATTACAAACAAAGGAATGTGTTTTATGACTAGTCAAATTTTATGTTTTCAGGGAGTGGTATACCATGTGTCAGATGTGATTAAAAAGAGTGATAGGCAGCTGTTAGTAGTATATCTGCGTGAAGGTATGTAGCACAGCTATTTTAATTTCAAACATATATACAGAATGTAAATAAATATATATTATAACGCTCTGTGGTAGATAGATGGGTTCAATCTGATCATATTTTGTTAATACACCCATGTCTGGAAATGCTTCCTTTTGGCACTAAGGGTCACAAAATTTTCTGAGGGGATGCATAGGTTTCAGGGGATGTTATCGTTGTTTTTCGTTATAAAAGTTGCTCAAAATGGTGGACGCCAACTTCATTCCATGTTCTGCACCTTCTGGCTATGTTATGCCGAAGTCTTCGAAAGATTCCTGGCATTTCCTGAATTGTTCCAGCTGCTTATGCAATTCTTGCCACAAGATCATGTTGTGCCTCCACTGGAGTCTTGTACACCAGGCTTTGCATGTATCCCCAGAGAAAGAAATCCAGTAGTCAAGTCAGGGGAGCGAGGGGGCCAGGTTTCTGGGCCTCCACTTCCAATGCATCGTCTAAAGTTTCATCCAGATACTCATGGATGACACTTGTGCAGTGTGCCGGGGTGCCATCATCCTGGAACCACATTTTGTGAAAGACTTCCAAAGGCACCACTTCCAGCAGCTTGGGAAGTCTCTTCTAGGAATGTTAGGTAAATGTCACTAGTAACCCACAGAGGTAAGAGGTAAGGATGTCCTCCTTCACATTTCAGAGGCCCTAGTGTGTAAACAAAGTGTTTCCAGACATGAGTGTATTAACAAAATATGATCAGATTAAACCCATCTATCTACCAAAGAGTGTTGTAACATATATTTATTTACACTCTGTATATATTGGATGTGAGGAATATGGTCATTTGCTTGCTGAGGTGAACTGATTTTGGGAACCTAGTATATATGTAAATTGTACTGAATGTTTCCGGGATGTAACTGAACATTACACTTTTCACATAATTCAAATGTTTGGATTAGTTTATAAGAGATGATTCTTTTTCAAGAAGTAGCTGGGCCTTAGAATGTTAACAAGGAAAACGCTTTTATATATATATAACATTTCTGTTGCAGTTACTGTCAACTGCCGTAAAGGGAAATTTTTCAGTCTATATGCATTCAACGAATTTGCCACATCACTCGCAGATGCTCGTTTGCGGAAAGGTGATTTTGCTGCCTTCCGTTCAGCATATGTAGAGGAGAACACAAGGTATCGCATTGAAAAGGGCTGCCATGACTTGCAGGCACGCATTGGCATTCCTCCACGCACAGGAGCAAAGATTTTCTTCGTAAGAAAGTCGCAGATTACCGTGAGTGTCCTTATATATGTGTGTGTGTGCCTAAGGGGATAAAATGCTAGTGAACCCAATTAGGAGACCATTGAAGTCATTATGTTGAAACCTCATTTGAAATTTTGCACATTAGTAGTGCCTGCTGAGTAATCAGTGCCCAACATTTCAGCAGCTGGTACACATTAGAAGTGTAACATATATTTATTTACACTCTGTATATATTGGATGTGAGGAATATGGTCATAAGGAATAAGGGAATAAAACAGACAGAATCAGAGACAGGGACTAGCTCTGTCAATTGGGCCCAACTGAGTAGGTTTTACCTGAAGGCAGAGACAAATCAAATCTCTGAAACATTGTGCTTTAAATAATGTCTAGAAATATAATATTTGTATTTAAAGTACCATTGTCACAAACTTTTAGATCAAAATTGTGCTGGTGTTCTTAAAGTTTTTTTCACACTAGCATATTTTGCTGTGAAAATTGAAAACGAAGAAATGGCTTTACTTTAAAAGTGCTGTCTCACTAAAAGAGCTCAAATATGTTACTTCTTTTGATTTCTGGCATGTTTGCAGTGAAAAAATTCAGTAACTATTCCTGTTGGCTTCATCATGTCTGTATACAAATCAAGAACTACTGAAAGGATGTTTATGCAATTTGGTGTTGGAGAGCTTTACCAAAATATGTCAACACATTGAATTTTGAGTTCATTGAAGTGCTGTCTTGAAGATTAATCTTCAACAAAGAACTAATGTTGTGCTAAATGTGCCATCTCTTCAGGCTTGTTCCACACCTCAGAGCCAATGATAGATGATTTGACCTTTTCATTCACCCATCCCATATTCCTCCTTTGAACCCTGGTGTTGTGTAATAGAAGTGTTTAATGCAGTGCTGTCCAACGTTCTTATGTACTTGGGCACAATTCACTGATGCCTATGGAGGTGTGGGTGCCACCACACACTACTACTACTACTACTACTACTACTACTACTACTATTACTGCTACTGCTGCTGCTGCTGCTGCCGCTGCCGCTGCCGCCGCCGCCGCCTCAATGAAAGAAGATGGGATAGGAGGCCAAGGCCAAGGCTATTCCATCAGTCTGCAATGTGACACCATGCTGTGAACACACATTGTTTTTACAAGAGCGCTTTTTTCTGCTTCGTGCTTTGTTTTGTCTGCGATGGATGGCAAAATCAAACAACATGTCTGCATGAAGCTTAGTAAATCCACTACTGAAGCCATTGAAATGCTTCATGAAGCTTTTGGAGAACACTCTTTAAGCCAGACAGCTGTTTTTGAATGGCATTCATGTTTCTAGGCCAGTGAAGTGTCAGTTGAATGTGATTAATGTTCAGGGTCAGCAAGCACCAGCAAAACAGAAGAAAATGTTGAAAAAATTTGAGAACTCATCCACGAAGACTGTTGCCAAAAAATCCATGAGCTAGCAGACACTTTTGGGATCAGTTATGGAGTTTGCTAGGAGATCTTAACAGAAAACTTGGACATGCATCGCATTGCCGCAAAGTTTGTTCCCCCACTCTTGCCAAATGATCAGAAGGAGTGCGTGTAAATGCGTGTCTTGAGCTACAAGAGAAGGCTCATGAGGACCCATCTTTTATCTCTAGGATCATAACAGGTGATGAAAGTTGGATTTATGGTTATGCTCCAGAAACAAAGCAACAATTGTTGCAGTGGAAGGGCCCACATTTACCAAGAGCAAAAAGGGCATGGCAGGCCTGGAGTTCAACAGAGCATGCTAATTTTTCTTTCTTGATGTGAAGGGGATGGTTCACTGTGAATTTGTTCCTTCTAACACTACGGTCAACTCTAACTTTTACTATGACATTTTGAGATGTTTGAGAGAGAATGTGCGACGAAAAGATTAGAACTTCGGTGCAACCACAACTGGCTCTTTCATCATGATAACACACTTGCCCCGACATCTCTGAAAACCACAGAGTTTGTGCTAACAACATCATGGTTATCGTTCCCCATCCTCCCTGCTCGCTGGACTTAGGCCTGTGTGATTTCGCGTTGTTTCCCAAATTAAAAATGAAGCTGTAGGGACAAGATTTTGAAACAATGTCTGACATCAAAAGGGAATCACAAGCAGTGCTCAACAGCATTAAGGAAAATGACTTCCACGGTGCTTTTGCAGCATAAAAAAAACAATGGGTATATGTTCCCAATGAGACTATTTTGAAGGAGATAGCGGCCAAAATTGAATAAGTTTCTTTTTTGATCTAGTCCAAGAACTTCCTGATACAACTTTTTTTATGTAGAAAAAGGCACTTGTGTGTTTCTGCTTTGACAGTGCTTCTCATAATTTGTAGCAATATACATCTGATCTGAATTATGGAATATTTTTTTTTTCAGAATTGTGATACTTCTCAGAATGTATCAGCAACAAAATGTCTGTCTCCAGTTGTCTCCCTGGAAAGACATCCATCTCTAGGCAGCTTGAATAGAGAACCAACCACTATCAGCTTGAATAGAAACCCTTCTTCAAGTGTCACTGAAACTTCATGTCATTCAACTAGGATTTCACCAGTGTCTTGGATCCCAGATAGTGTTTCACCAAATCATAATACCTCAAATAGAGTTTTATCAGCTCAGCATCACTTACGTACTTGTTCTCCAGTTCATAATGCCTCATCCAGAATTTCTCCAAGTACATCCCCATGCAGAGTTCAACAAATTCAGAGTACCTCTGGTGGGAATAGAGTGACTTTGCAGAACACACAAACAGTGTATACATACAAAAGAATTTCAGAATTGGTTGAACCGGAGAAGAAAGTTAATATATATGGAGTCATCTCCAGCATTACAAAGGTAAAATTAATTTTTAATTTGGCAAGACATCTAATGCAGTTACTGAGCAGAGTAGCTGTGTGGTTTGCATCTTGAATGCCAGAAACACTGTCTTAACTAAGGTTTCTCATGCATTAAATTTAGGTAACAGGATAGCTGAGTTAGTACAGTGACTGGCAACTTGCTAGACAGCCAGGGTTCAATTTGGACAGATTTGCCTGGTTCTGGATAGGGTTCAGTAGGATGCTTTTATGAACATGGAAATGAACTTTCAGGTCCCTTAAAAGGCAGGAAATCTTTCTTCTAGTTGAGTGGCTGTTAGCTTTACTGTATCAAGTTGGTTTGTGATTGAGTTAAAAGCATTTGTGTTTTTTCCGTAAAGTTGTATTTAAAAGAAATGTATGCATATATTTGATGCTTTTAGATGCCTACTGAATCCAGAAAGCATGCAATTGTCAGGGTAAGAGATGAGACTTCTGGACCTGCGGTGGAGTTTCGGGTACATATTTTCTTCAAACATGAATTTGTTTTCCCCAAATTAGAACATGGTTACATTCTTAGGCTTCACAGAATGAAGGTAAATTTGTCATTAATTATATATTTTCACTAGTGATTTACAGAAATTGTACCATAAGACTGTTACACCTCAGGGGGGAAGGGGTGAGAACTTATAATCACTTTCGTCNGGGAAAAGATAGGAATGAAAATTTTGGATCTAAAAGCTTACACTTATATTTATTCTGAGTTCTGTGGTGTACTGTTTTTCGTTGAATAACTCCCCATATATACCATCATATTCAGTGCACTTGAACAGATATTTCTTAGTTATGAATTGTATTTGAGTAACACAAAGACAGGTCTAATATTAATGAATTTGCTTATGGATATTATGGTTGATGTTGTAGTTTGTTGAAAACCTCTTTTATATTATGTATTTAATGAAAAAATGTAGTGGGGTATAACTGTAATTGTATATATGAAGAGTTCAAGTAAAAAATTATGATTCTGGTATCTTTGGTTACCAGTTAGACTGGTATATGGCTTACCAAGTATTATGACTATATCAATTAGAGAGTGATATTTTCTATGACTGAATATTGTCTGAAGTACATAAGTTACATAAGTCTTTCAGTATGAAATTTTGAAAAGGAAGTATTTCAGTTACAGTATATCAGTAAATGTATATTATAGGTGAAATTATATTATCTGCTTTCTCATGTGAATAATTTTGATGAAGATGTTGGCATCATTGTGGATCCTCCTTATACTGACGTCTATGATGGGGGCACGCGGTAGTGTAGTTGGTCAAGCCACTATGCTTCAAGCCGGAAGGTCGCGGGTTCAAGTCCCAATGAGATCATTGAATTTTTTTCAATTGACATAATCCTTCCAGCCACACTACGGCCATGGCGTCGACTCAGCCTCTAACAGAAATGAGTACCAGGAATATTCTTTGAATATTCTTGGGGGTAAAGGGGGCTGGCGCGTAGGGCTGACAACCTTGGTGCCATCTATGAGCAGATTATCTAGATAATGTGGGAACCTCAACATTTCACAACCCTATGGGCCTCCACAGCCTGTTACAGTATTTCAGTTACAGTATATCAGTAAATGTATATTATAGGTGAAATTATATTATCTGCTTTCTCATGTGAATAATTTTGATGAAGATGTTGGCATCATTGTGGATCCTCCTTATACTGACGTCTGTGATGGGGGCACGCGGTAGTGTAGTTGGTCAAGCCACTATGCTTCAAGCCGGAAGGTCGCGGGTTCAAGTCCCAATGAGGTCATTGAATTTTTTTCAATTGACATAATCCTTCCAGCCACACTACGGCCATGGCGTCGACTCAGCCTCTAACAGAAATGAGTACCAGGAATATTCTTTGAATATTCTTGGGGGTAAAGGGGGCTGGCGCATAGGGCTGACAACCTTGGTGCCATCTATGAGCAGATTGTCTAGATAATGTGGGAACCTCAACATTTCACAACCCTATGGGCCTCCACAGCCTGTTACAGGGATACCTTTAATTTAATTTTACTTTTTACTGATGTCTTTGATATAATGCGGTCCTGATGCTAATGCAATTATGAGGAAGAAATTCATATATGTGTGTAGTTACAAAACTTTATTTAAGGCAGGGTTCTCAAATGTTGTGATACTGCAACCCCCTAAACTAATACATAAATTTTTATGAACCCACCCCCCAACCCTCAAGGTGAGCAAAAGGTGCATTTCTAAGCATTGTTGAAGATCATTATCAGTCTGTATAATGACAGCAGGAATTTCAATAGATTTCAACCTCTTAACACCTACGGGAAGCTGTAAATGTTCCTGTGCAGTCATGAAAATATTCACAAAATGTTCTGCCAGCTGCAGTCATGCTTTCTGAAAGCACCCATATTAAAGCTTACTGACTTATTAAACTGTGTGTTTGGATGCAGTTATATTTGATATGAATTTTGGGAACTTGGTGACCGCTCATAAAGTTAGTAGTGACCTCTAGGGGGAGTCACAGCTTAGAATTTTAAAAACCACACTCTGAGGCAAGAATTGGTGAGATGCACCTTGTATAATTCTCACTGCACTAGAAACATTGTTCCTAAATAACTACATCTTTCCTGTTTTTATTTTCTACAGACAGAAATGTATGAAGGTGTGTTGGATGGTCGTGTGTTCCGTGCATCAGATATTGTGACCTTTCCACCAGAAGGTGAAGGGATAGCAAATTCATTTACAGTAGCTGGTAGTTTTCATTTTTCTGGTGAGTATACTACTGGTATCTGTGATGACAAGTGCCACACAGTTTTTTCATCTGTTATTGAGACATTTCTGTGAAATCTATGAGCAAGTCATCAGTAATTGTGTGGCTCACATATCAACCTACAGTGAGTGGCAAGATAATTGAGCACCATGATATGAAGATGTATGGGCAGAAGGTGTAGGTGGGTGCTCAACATCTTACCCCAATCATCCTATACCTGCATAAAGAGCCCCTGGCACTCATGAAATAGGAGCTAGTCTGGATGCTGTGGAGAAGAGAAAAATCTCCTGTTCCTGCCATTATTGAATCCTGATTACTTGGTCATCCATCCTTAGCCCATAGCCCATCACTATAGTAGCTTAGCTCTGACAGTGAAGGGTTATTTTATAATAATAGATGGAAGCTACTTGTATTTTGGGGTGAGCTAGTCAGGTCTCTGATTCAGTGGAGGTGTTATTTTATAATACCATTAACAACAGCTGCTTTTTTATTATACAGAAACCTGCGTTAGACTTAGGAATCAAATGAAGGCAGGTGAAAATGCTTGTCCATTTATATTATTCTGATATGTTACTTTGCTTTAACACTCAATTAACAGGAGAACAAATTCCAACTAACATTATTTTAGTTGAATATAATGTTCTGAGTAGCCAAGGATTGAATGAGTTCCCACTTATGTTGTTTCATTATACATTACTGATCCCAAGAGCTCATTGGTAATGTAAATCAGAGACAACCTGTACAGGGTGTCCCAGGAAGAAAGGTCATCATTCTGGGAGGTCATAATGTCATTCTAAGTAAAAAATTATAGATATATGTGTGTCCTGTTCTGACCAGTTTCAAAGATAGAGCCATTTCACTGAACACTGTACAGACGAGCAACATGCCATGTCCTCACACATATTGCAGATAGCATTGATGTTGATGGTGGAATTTTTTAAAATGTCTTATACTAGGTAAACTGGTCTTTGTAGGATTTGAGGTTTTCACAGCAGTGACTATGAAAAATGCTGTCTTCTAGGGTGTACCTCCATGTAGATCTTGAGTGAACCAACATTTCGGAGGAATATATCACCTCCATCTTCAGGGTAGAAAAATCCGAGAGCGAGGAACCGGTATGTGCAGGTGGCTAGGCACTCAGGATGTGCACAGCACCACATCCCAGAAGATGGCATTCTTCATGGACTAACTTTGTCACTTGAATAGTAAATACTGATATTAGGAACAGTATGTAATATCTCTTTCTTAACAATTTTGGAACTGTACAGTGATGTAGCTATATTGTGAAAACCGTTTGGCGTAGGACACATGAACAGATACACTTTTTGCTTAGATTGAGTGATACTGTGACCTCCCAGAATACTGACATTTCTTCCTGGGACATTCTGTATATATCCATGTAAGTCACAGTTTGTTTCCAAATTTCCAGAGTGCAGCCTGTGTGCAAGTCATGTTGTCCTCATTCAGAAACCTACTTAAATTTTCCAGTAGACATAGTCAGATGAAATGTTACTTAATGTGAATATGCTTTATTCATGTGTGAAATTAATGATATGTCTTGAAGAGGCCTGTAGTAAAGATTGTATGAAGGAGGTGTAAAAGTAAGTTATCCGTAATTAAGCACTATGCCATGGAGGTGTATGGTGTAGAGGATGTATAGATCCGCATTTTCTTGTCCTTGGCCCTAGCTACAGGTGAGTCGTTAGCTTCATGCCCCTGCTGCTTTACACCCAGGGAAAGAGACTCTGGTTCCATTGGATAGGAGGTTGGGTGGACCCCAGAGCCGGTCTGGACAACATAGAGAAGAGAAAATTCTTGACCCCACCGGGACTTGAACTCCAACCCCCAATTCATCAGCTCATAGCCAGTCACTATACCAACTGAGTTTTCCCAGCTTCCATGAACATTACAAATAAGTTTTCTTATTTAAAAATTTATTTGCAGAATAGACTATTTCAAAAAATAAATAAGTTTTCCACACAGTGAAATAAGTCATAAGAAATTTGAAAAGAGTGAGCTACACGTTTTTGCATGGGAAGAAAGTAAATTACACTTATAAAGTGGAACATAGAATTATTTAGATTCTAAAATGTTCTGACGATGGTGGATGACACAGAATTACTGGGTTTTTGGACCTTTTCCATCATCTGGAATTCTAGGTGATAGACATGACATTGGACATTTGTAAACTGGATCTGTTTCCACCGTCTTCGGGTTAGAAAGGAAGACACCTACTCAGTTGGGCCCCATAGAAAGAGCTCATCTCAATCACTGGACAACTGTCAGATTTACCCAGCTATTTAAACATATAAGTTCAGCAGGAGATAACAAGAAACCATAAAATAAAAATTGTGATAGAGCATGCACATGTGTGGAACTAGGATAGAAAAGTAGATAGAAATTTGTGTTAGAAACCTAGCTGACAAAAACCAAGTGCATGAGCACCAATGTGAAGAATTGGGAAAAATTTTGAAGACATGTAATATCTACCATTAGTGCCATCTGTGGAGTAACCAGTCTCAAGTGTTCAGATAATTTTTCTGTTTATAGGATTCATTGGGTTAGGTAACACAGTTGGTAGAGGTTTGACTTCATGGTTGCACATACGGGGAAACACACCTATTGTGTACACAAATTTATACACCAGAACTCTGAATTAACTGGAGTTGCAGAAGCAATAAGTTGTAATGATATGATTTGAATAAATTTATAGCATGTATAATTTTAATGAAATATATAGATATTAATTTATTTTAAATGATTTCTGGAACTGCGAGACATGTGCATTGCCTTCTAAAGTTCAAAACAAAAAGCCTTGAGATAGCTTGTACCCACAATGCATCAGCCTTCCAAGAAGCAGTTGTCCATGGTGTCCAGTGCTAATACAAATTCCTCACTTACAGTTGACTGATTGAAGTAGATGCCCTGACCCCTATGGCAAATATATACTCCTATTGGACAAAACCAGTGTAATCACATCATTCTACCACTGTCTTCCCACATCTGCATGCCATCAGCTCCAGGACTTACTTCAACCAGCAGGGCTCCTGTAAACCTGACTTACAGTGACATTGTTTTCTGCTTAGATTTCCGGCTCCAAATCCCCCAAGACAACTCCACGCTTCACAATATACTCATATACTTTTAGCCCAAACAAAGCAAGGTAGTATGAGGGAGAGTCAGTAAATAGGTCACAAATGATTATAAAACATGTGATATTTGAACCTGGGAAAAACATTTATTTCTCACCTTATCCACCACCAACATTGATACACTTGTCTTCTCACTTTACCACTACATCAAAACCCACAGCATGGAAGTTTTTTTTGATTCTTGTCTCAGCTACTTCCACACCTTCGTTTGAACCTCTTCATCATCAGTGAAACGTTGGCCGCCAAGGTGGTTTTGTAGTGGACCAAACAGATGGAAGTAACAAGGGGGCCAAGTCTGGGCTGTAAGGTGGATGTTCAAGAAGTTTCCACCACATTTCTTGAATCTCTCCTGGACTGCTTGGGCTATTTGGAGTCTGGCATTGTCATGATGAAGCAGTACCCCTTTTTGCCAGTTGGCCTGAATATTCTCTGTGAATTGCATCCCAAAGCTTCGACAGAACTTCACAGTAAGATGTAGAATTTACATTTTCACCACTCTTCTGACAATGGGCTGATAGTATGCCCTGAGAAACCAAAAACATGGTAAGCATAACCTTCTAATTGATGGCACTCTCATAACCATAAACTTTTTGGTTGAAGGTGAAGTGGAATGTCTTCACTGCATCGAAGCGCACTTTGATTCCAGTTGGTAGTGATGCAGACATGATTCATCCTCAGTAACAGTCCTGTTAAACATATCTTCTCCTTCATCTGCATACCTTCATCGGGACCCTTTCCAAAACTTCAAACGATCATTCATTATGCTGTATGCTAAACCATGGGAACATCCTAGTGCAGTTCCTTCACAGTTAATTGTTATCCTCCTGTCAACTTAAATCGACTATTCCACCCACTGCACAGTTGCTTCTGTCACGACCTCAACAGAGCGACCTGGTCGGTCATCATCTGCAACTTTTGAACATCCTTGAGAGAATTTCTCATTTCATTTTCATCTTTTTCATTTCATTTATTTACATGCCACAAATCCATTAAAAGGTCTTTGGCCCAGGATAAAGACAATAGTCCAATATAACAGAAACGATATATAATATAAACAAATATGTATTCATTATAAATTTGTAATAAAAGATATAATGTAAATATAAAATTTACAAGTCACTTTTCAATGCCTGATAGTTTAATTTATAGTTCCATATACAATTTGAATTGGGTTGTTATAAATACATGAGCGTTCAACTTATGTATTGATCACATAAGGACGGAATTTTGTAGTGTATCAGAAAATAAAATATACCTTTACAATTTTTCAATTAACACCATAACAACGTGTAGCAATATAAACCCAGTTGTGAACTGCTTTACATGACAAAAACTTCCCACCCTAAATAGGAAACATTTCTTTATGGATATCCTTTGTGTTGAGCCCTTTGGCCCTCAAAAAAACCCACAACAGAACTCTTCTCTTTGGTAGTATACCCCTAAAGCATGGTTGCCATTTAGACTACTGAAAGCAGCCTCTGAACATTCATATGCATGTCTGCGACCCAGACTGTCATAAAGCTGGACTGTTTTATTTCAATTTGTGACCTATTTACTGACTCTCCTCATATTTGTGTATTCCAAATTTACTTTTATTAGTTCTAGAAAAAAACAAATCTGAGTGATCTCTCTAAATAAATTACTTTAATTATCACAACATTCAAGACCAGTGAATAAATCAGAATTTAAACACAGTGGATTAGTTTTGCTTATAATTCATGGCAGTTACAATAATGTCCAAAATAATATAGTTAAATTTGTTCTTTAGATTCGGATGCAAGACGTTTGACTGAGCTTCGCAAATGGATTGCTTCACAACATAAGCAGCCACCAACACTTGCCTGTCCTCCATCTGTTAGCCCCCCAGAAGCTGTCTCACCTCGATCTTCTACTTCAGCATTACCCCAAACAACAGTAATGACTCAGAGGCACCAGCCCGTCAGCCCTTCACCTTCCAAAACAAAGGTGGCTGACTGTCAATCTCTTGTGAGTTCAGAACCAACTGGAACTATGCTGAGTGAAGTCAAGAAAGAAGGAAATTATGTTTTGCTTTGCAAGGTGAATAATATTCTGTTTTTATATGGTAACTGGTTTACAGAAATCTTATACAAACAGTTATCATATTTACCTGAATGTAAGGTGAGGTTTTGTTTCCCACAGTACTTTCTCAAAAATGGGTATTTTGCTTTGAATTATTTCAGATGAATATTGTCCATGCCTAGCAGTTTTATTTTATTAGTAGTTTTGAGAGATAAAATGTGCAAGTAGGTGGACAGACTCCTTATAATATGCTAATTTAATGCTAGCAGAGAACGCATAACTGTAAATGCAGAATTTCCACAACTTCTGTCCATATACCAGTTGCATGTATGCTGTGGGATCGGCTTGTATGGATTTACAGCATGGACTATTCTTGAGCCAGTCAGATTTGTCATTGTGATGCAAGTGGATATGATGTTTCATATAGAAGTGTTTGAAATTAATAGAATATCTGGCTGATAGAGAGCTGCTAGTTAGCGACAGAAGACTAAATGTGAAATTGTGAAAAGAAGTGTTTGAAATTAATAGAATGTTTGAGTGTTAGTTACTTAGAGAGGGTGGGTTTCCCCATGCACCGCGACCAGTTTGATCTATTGTGCTTCCCTCTATGATATTCTACCAGTCTCTTTACCCTACCGATAAATGGTGCGTACCATCAGTCCTGCCGAGCAAGCGAGTTCGGCCACTTGCTTAGCGGTATCTATAATGCTTCCCCTATCTATCAGAGGCCTTAGAGACTAGTGTTGGGCGGGAAACGTCCTGGAATTTGGCTCGGTGATCCCCTTTGGGGATATGAGGTTCTTTTACGTGCCGTAAAGTTACGACACAGGACACACAGTTTAAAGTCCCTCCCGGAGGACTTGTTCCCTGAATTTTTCCACCCTTAAAAATTCGACGACCTCTGCTGGGTATTTGAACCTGCGTACCACGAGTCATGAGGTGGGAACGTTACCTCTAGACTATGGAGGCCGCTATGTTTGAGTGTTAAAGCACTAGATATCAACTAAAGAATGAATGTGATGTTTTAACAGAAGTGCTTGAAATTAATAGAATGTTTGAATGATGAAGAACTAGATATAGACTGAAGAATGGACATCTTTGAAAGTAATAGAATATTTGGCCCATAGATAACTCCCAGATATAGACTCAAGAGAAAATTGTTGTTCCTGAGAAGGCCTGTACATTTTGTTGGTATGGGATCACAAAAAAGCTGTACCCATAGAGGATGTCTGATGGTATGTGTAGTGTTTGAAGACTAAAAGAATTTGGTTCCTTCTGAAGTGAGCATGTTCAGAGTTTCCCTGGCTCTATCATTTCCACATTGAGGCCTTTTCTTTATGAACCAAAAACATTATCCACAATGAAAATGTTGTCAGACATAAAGGTAAAAAAGGGTAAAGCTGTCCCTGTAACAGACCATGAAGGTCCATAGGGGTGTGAGAGGTCAAGGCTCCCATATCTTCTAAACGGTCGGCTCATAGGTGTTGGTAAGGTTGGTAGTCTTACGTGCTGGCCACCCTTTTACCCCACAAGAAAATTCCTGATACTCATTTCTATTAGAGGTTGAGTTGATCCCAGGGCCATAGTGCAGCTGGAAGAATTCAATGACCTCATCAGGATTTAATCCAACTTTTCAGCTTGTAGCATAGGNAGTCCTGATGAGTCCTGTGATAATTATCACAGGACTCATCAACAGACATAAGGAAGTTAACAGTTCTCTTGAACACTTTGCCAGCCACTGACTCAGTGCAGAGCCTGAAATATTTGAAGGAAAATAGATGTTATACATTCTTGCAAGTACTTGTTCTTAATGAATAAAACATAAAGCTACAGTATGAAAATATTTTGGGTAAATCTAAAGGTGTCTTGTTTGTGCAGGTACTCAGAGTTGACATTCTGTCTGAAGAGATGCGCATTCTCACTGTGACAGATGGCACCTTGTGTACTTACTCTTTACATTTCAATCAAAACAATGGGTCACAGGAAGAGAAGCATTCAACATATGAAGTGAGAATTATTATCTTGGAGCCTTCTCTAGTGCTAACAAAAATTAAGGTTAGTATCATAATGTTTTTTTAATTTTTTCCCATTCCATTTAAATTCAGTATCTTAATGCTAGCAGACCTGTTAGTGTTGTCACATGATAGAGTGACTATAGAGCAGGTGTTGATTGCTAAGTTTTTTAAGAGTCCAATAAATCCCTTAATCAGATTTATTGTACTCTTAAACAACTTGTGGCTAAGACTTTAGAAATCACTATCGCACAAAGACTAGAGTTCTCAGTCACAGTCTTCACTGCTCTGCTTTGTAATGTCTTCCAATGGTGAATGTTCCTTTGCTCACAGGCTCATGTCCTGGCAGGCTGGCAGCCATCTCACGCCAACCCCGTACTCTTTCTAACCGCCATCTCAAGATTGTTCTGTTGTCAGGTGACATCACTATACGCATGCACTGCACAGAAAACACTTCCTCTCTTGCATGTGTAGTCTTTGTTCTGAGGAGTGTACTGTGTCATAACATAGTAATGGCTCTCTCTTCAATTATGATGTTACATTGCTCCCTTCTTAAGGCTGCTCATCCCAGGTAGCCTATAAGCATATTGCCATTTTCTTCTTCTGGTCAGTACTGGCAAAACTCCTGAGAGTGTTTGGTGCCTCTACATCTCCAGCTCTTAATCTGCGAGTAGTCTCTTCTTTTATTTGGGTGGGGCCTGACTTTTCCACAGTGTCCTGAAACTCATTTTTTGAATCCTGATGGAAAACCCAGCTTCTAGCTTGATGACCTCCAGCACTATGGTCTGTTTCAGTGCCTTGTTGACATTTCCCTTGCTTCACAGACACAACTACTCTTTTAAGAACCAGTCCTTTATGCCGTTGTTGCATTCAAAATATGTCTGTTGCCTCTTCCTGAACGTCCATCCTCTAGGGGCTCCTCATATAACATTGTCCTTGCTTCGCCTTTTCCATTGGTTCTGGTATCCCACGGCTAGTCGGTCTCCAGATTAGTCCTCCAGTGCTCCAATAGTCTCCTCTGCAGTCTCTGTCGTAGGGACTTCCTGAAGACCTGCTATAGTCTCCATCTCTTCTGGATTTGCCTGCCTCCAACTTTTCCTGATTGACTTCCATCTTTTCTAGATATGTTTACGTCTTGGTCTGTACTTTTTCCTGATTAGTCACCATCCATTCTAGACAGGCTTTCATTATGTCTATCATCTCTTGATGTTTAGCTTCTGTCTTCACTTGGTAGGCATTCATCTTGGCCTCCAATCTTTCATGCATGACCTGCGGACGTTCAGTCATTTTCAGGTCATGCTGCAGGCTCTTTGTATCCTGTCCAATATGTCCTTGCATCTTGTGAAGCAATATCATGCGTTGCAATGCTTAATTTTTTCTTTGTTTTTTTTTAAAGCTTTATATTGCTAAGAATGAAGTTTGGCACCATTTTCTGGAGAAGAGGTGCATTTATGAATGCTGTCGCCTCTTATCTTTTTGAGCTCTTTTTCAACTTTTACTCTTTATTCTCTTCTCTGGATGAATCTTTTTCTGGGCTTTGCGAGGCACAGTGTCAGAATCAGTCAGTCTAGATGCCAACTGGCTTTTGAGTTCTGCTGTTCTGTGCTTCTGTAAAGTTGTTTCTTTAACCAAATGTTCAGTCTCTTCGCTGAGGTCATGTTCAATAATGGTAAGTTCATTGATGCAATCTGAATTCTTTTTCTCATCAGGCATACTTTCCAGTTTCCTTTGGAGTTTGTGATTTTCATTTCTCATACATTCCATGCTTTCTTGCTGTTCCTGGTTATTTCATTTCAGTTAGACAATTTGAACAGTCCAATCCAATTGTCCCAATTCTGACACCTGTTGTCATGTTATGGATGGAGTTACTATACACGGGATGTGGATTGGTAATTTGTTTAGTGAACTCTTTAAACAACTCATGACTACACTTGAGAAATCACACAAAGACTGTTTTTCTCAGTCATGGTCTTTGCTGCTTGGCTTGATAATGTCTTCTAACAGTGGACATACCCCTGCTTGCGGGCTCACATCCTGGCAGGCTGACAGCCATCTTGCACCAACCCATTACGCTTATACCTGCTGTCTCAAGATTGATCTGTTGTTGGGTGGCTTTGCTATATATGCAGACCACATAAAGAACACTGTTCCTCTGTTGTATGTGCAGCTGTGACATCATTAATAAATTGTTTATTGTGCTGTTACCTATTAATGGCTCTCTCTTCAGTTATAATACCACAATATAAACATCCTTTACATACTAAATGTTACTGGCTTCAGTATGGTGTGCTGCTAGTTCTCCCTCTATAATGAAAATGCACAACCACAAGCATAAGTGGTTCTTCTAGCAATGAACAATTGAAATACTGTATGATGTGAAGTCATAATGTTTTAATTATCACCATGAGAAAAACATAATTCCAAAATATGGTTCTATATAGGAGATATCCCATTTCCTGAGCTTGCCGAACAGTCAAATTTGCCCACGCCAAGTGGACAGAGGGAGCCACTGGAAGGGGCAGAAGCAAAATGGTGATGGTTGAGAAAGTGGAGGCTTGCGCTGTGATACGGTTCCTGCATTTGCAAGGGAAATCTGCCAGAGAGATCGACGACCAGATGACCGCTGTGCATCAGGAAGGTGTACCATCATATGACACAGTGGTCAGGTGGAAGAGGCACTTTCATTGTGGACAGACAAACGCTGAAGTGGAAGACCATCTCTCACTGAGGAACCAAGAATTGTGGCACAGGTGGAAGCTTTGATCCCATCCGATAGGTGCATAACTATCGAAGCTATTGTTCATGAGGTCCGCATTAGCCATGGGTCGGTTTTCAACATCATCCATGATGAGTTACACATGACAAAGGTTGCTGCACATTGGGTGCCACGATTGTTGATACCAGTTCAAAAACAGCAATGGATGGATGTGGCAAAGAAATTTTTGCAGTTGTGTGAAGATGAAAAGGTGCAATTTCTTGACCGCCCGATCACGATGGATGAATGTTGGGTCTATCATTATGACCATGAAACAAAGGAAATGAGCAAGCAGTGGAAACATGCAGACTCACCGCCACCAAAAAAGGCCAAATCCCAGCCGTCGTCAGGAAAGGTGGTGTTGAGGGTATTCTGGGACCGGCGGGGTGTCATCATGACCGACTACATGCAGAAGGGTGTTACCATCACTGGCGAGTACTAGCAGAACCTTCTGAGAAAATTATGGGAGGAAATCAAGAAAAAGCGACGCGGAATGCTGGGAAAAGGTGTGCAACTTCTTCACAACAACGCACCGGCTCATGCTATGATGACACTTGCTGCCAGTTTGGGATATGAAATTCTCCCCCTTCCACCATATTCACCAGACCTGGCACCAAGAGACTTGTTCCTCTTTCCACGGCTAAAGAAGCCACTTCGTGGTAAGCGATTCCAAGACTATGATGACGTCATTTTTGCACTGGCAGTCTTCCTAAACGGTCAAAATGAGACCTTCTGTGATCAAGGTATCCAGTAACTAATGCATTGTTGGGGAAAGTGTGTAGCCTTGCAGGGGGCATATATAGAGAAGGGCTATCTCACATACAATTTCTTGCACTTGTGTCTCTGTTTCTTCTGGGTGATAATTAAAATTTTATGACTTCCCCATGTACATACTGTATAGTGTTGCCTTCTAACAGCAGTGAAGCTAATGACTTACAGTTTAGTACCCAGTGGTGGATTTATTTAATTACACTCTTTCAACTTCATAGATTATGTGACATATAATGGTAGGATGTTGTGAACAGGAAAGGAAGGAAGTATAGGAAAATGTTGAATGGAGATTCCACTCCACTTAACTATGATGTTTGGTGACAGTCAAATGCACCCAGAAAAGTGATGCAATATTTGTTACGTGTATTTATTCTTTAAATTTGTATCCAATTCTGATTATATTTTGTATTGAAGAGCATTACTAAAAGTAAATGTGGATTTTATTAAAACCAACATAAAGGTATTTGTAGGGGGACAGTATATTTGAACCATGAACTGAATAAATGGAAGTAATTTAACACAGAGATATTGAAACTTGGACCATGGAACAGCAAGTGAAGGGAACCCTTTAATTAAATGTGGTTTCACCGCACATTGGAAAATTCAGATGGCCATAATATGTAAAGATTTCATTCATTTGTATTCTTGTCTTGCCAACTATTAAAGAAAAATTTGATTCTGAAACTGATGAAATATGATATAAATATTTGTTTCCCTCCTCCACCGAACACGTTGAGTAGATAGAATTCCTCCATATTTGAAAGTTCTAGATTTAAATTTCATCTCAAAGCCTGACTATCTTGACTGGGTCTTTTGTGCTTTTTCTAGGTTTCTCTGGGCAAATGTCAGAATAGTTATTCAAATTAGCCTTTGACTGCTTCCTTCCCCCTTCTTTTCACTTCATAATTCACTATCATCCTGTCATTTGACACAGTATGATTTAGGTTGTCTTAAATTTTTAAAATAGTTTTATATGGTATGTTGGACATGTACACAATTTGTGTATGTAGTTAAATATTATAATATTGTTGACTTTTATACAAATAATTTGACTTGTTCTGTATCTGGAGGCTGTATTGCAAAATGTGGATTTCTGGAACCAATAAAAATATGAATATGAATATGAACTATTGATAATGTCATTAAATAAATCATAAATAAATAAAATAAATAATTTGTGCCAATAAACTGTGTATGAACATAAGTGAATCCTCATTTCCAGAAAGGCGCTTTGGTAAAGCTGAGAAATGTGAAAGTGCAAGTGGCCCTTGTTCCTTTTTCACAATTTAAAGGACCTATATTAAGCTTCAAGATGATTGGGAATGATTGTTCTGTTGAGATTTTCAAGGGAATTGAGCCAGAAGCAGTGAAACTTAAAAGGTAAGAGTCTTTTAGTTTAGGCACATTATAAGGGGGTATGGTAATAGCAAGACACGACATCTAAAGATGTAATGGAAGAAAAATCTGAACCTGAAACAACGTATGGCAACTTTCTGTCATATTTTTCAGTCTTTATGATGAGACTAGCAAGAACTATAAATCATTAATTTTACAATTAATAGTAAATTCATGGGTATGATTTCGACTAATACACATTTTCACTCTCTTTAATTTGTCACATATAAACCTTAAAATTTTGCGGTCACCATGTATGTAACTGTTAGTATATAAGGAAATATTTCATATAAAATTTGTTGGCATGTTTATAGTCTATCTCCAAACAAAATTTCACATATCTATATAATAGTTAATTAGTTATTTCCCTTGTATGGAAAGATAAACAGAATTTGCACAGTTGTCATGTTGTTTTGTAGTCTACAAAAGGATTAGCATAATAAAAGTTTCATATTTTTCAAATTAAAAATGTGAAGTTATTCCTGAACTTAATTAAGCACCACACTATGAAGACACAAGGAGAAGTGGAAGTATAGCTGCACCATTCTTAACCTCAGAATTAGGTGGAGGTGAGTGGTCTGTTTCATGCCTCTGCCACTTTTCCCCCAGGAGAAGAGTTGCTGCTGCTGCTCAGTGTATAGGAGACTGGGTGAGCCCCAGAGCAAGTCTGGATATTATGTAGAAGAGAAAACTCTCTTGCCCCTGCTCCAGGCAAATCCTGTTTCCTTAGTTATCTAGCCCATAGCTTAGTCACTAGAGCCGTTGAACCGTCCTGGCACTTACATATTTTTCAAAGATCTGTTAGCTATCATGTAAAATATCAGGACTTCATATTAGTCTACAAAAATAACTTAACAAAAGTTGCATATTTCTCAAAGATTTGTTAAATATCACATACAATATCAGGACCTTAGATTATTATACAAAAATAACACCTTAACAGATGTCACATATTTTTCAAAGATCTGTTAATTACCATGTAAAATTTCCATATCTTTTATTCTTATGCAAAGAAATTAGTTAATAAAACTTGTATATTTTTTTTACATTATGTTAAGTGGCACTGTAGTCACTCCCACCGTGCAAGTTTGCACAGCCATCATTTGATTTAATCGTTGACAGGAAATTAGAAATAGAAGGATGGGGTGACCTCTGGTGGCATGATATGTGTATCAACTTTCATGAAAAACTTATTATGTGAGTTATTGGAGGCATTGATGAAGGTAAATTTAATGTTAACTGTGTTTAATTAATTAAGCACCATGCCGTGAAGATGGTAGAGGAGGTATATCTCCATGCATTCTTAGCCTCAGTAGTAGATGGAAGTGGGTGGTTACCTTCACACCTGGACTGCTTTACCGCTGACAGAGTCCCCCAGGAGGAGGCTAGGTGGGCCCAGGAGCCAGTCTGGACATGTGGAGAAGGGGAAAGTCTCTTGCCCCTACTAGGAACCAAACCCCTGATACCATAATCGTATCTTTCCTTATAAAGTGAGGAAAGTAGGCTGAATATTGAATATTAATTAAATTTTGTTTGGATTAGTGCAAATCATAAATTAACACTTTGCGGACCGCGCACCCTTTAGAAAGTTTTTTGCTTTTAAACATGGTGGACCGTTCGCGTGTTAACAGGCTTTTAAAACACGATAAGTTGCAACACACTATACATCTCTCTGGCCCCACCTAGCTAACACATAGCTGCTTGCAGCTGCGTTATAAGGCCCTGGAATGTCTGCTGACCAATCAGTTACTAGACCTCGCTGTAACTCTATGCCCCTGCAAAGGAAAATAAATACCTTTATTTCTTCAAGCTTTACGTAGCAAGCTGTCAGTCAGTAGTTCAATATGGATCAAAGACCAAAGCGGCTTACACCCAAGCGATTTCTTGGAGAACAAGAAATATCTGACTTCTTCTCCAGTGAGCTATCTGATGTCCCTTGTGAGTCTGCTAGTGATAGTGAGTGTGGCAGGGGTCAACAAAAAATTGTGACCACAGACGGGGAAAGTGAAAGTGACTGTAGCTCTGACGAATGTGCGGGTAGCAACATTGCGGGGACAGCCACATGGGGAAAAGTAGACAAGATGCCTGCTTTGGGACAGTTTACTGGAAATCCATGGGTGAAGCAAATTCCATCGGACCCAACGCAAGTGTCTTGAAGAGGCAGAACTGTTTATTGGAGATAGCGATACTCGTGTTGTGAATATGATTTCCACAATTCACAATTCGAGCATGGTTGATGTTCAAAGGAGACATGGACAGGTAAAGAAGCCTGTTTGTATTTCCGAGTATAATATGTTCATGAAGGGAGTTGATAGAGCCAATCAGTACTTAGCCTATTATTCTCTTCCTTGGAAAACAGTAAACTGGACAAAGAAAGTTGCCTTGTGGCTTATAAATTGTGCCATTTTCAATTCATTTTTGGTTTTCAAAAATCTAAACCCTCGTTCAAAATTGAAATACAAGGCATTTCTGCTGAATGTGACAAAAGCCCGGGCTACAGACCACGGTGGCAGCAGAACCGGCGGCAGACACAGTCTTAGTACGACCGGGGCCCTCTACTCCCACCCCATGCAGGCCTCATTTTGACCTCCCTGGGCGACTCTCGGGTGATATGCAGAAACATACCCTTGTGAAAATTGTGAAGAGTGAACATGCCAAGGGGAAGCAGCCTTCTAGG